TTATTTCTTTCTTATTAAGAAACTTCTCTCTTGGATGTCAAATATTTTTAACTTGATATTGCTGGACATAAAAGGTTAAACCGTTAGTTCACTATAATTTTTATAATTAAAAACCCTTTTCGGAGTTTTTTAATAAAACAAACTATACAAATGATGCAACGGTTCCTCGAAAAGCACCTTACATGAATTTAGTTCCCCAAAATGCCCATCTGGTATTACTGCATCGATCCTTTTGGGAAACATTTTGCATTAAAAATACAAAATAAAATAAACCAGTTCAAAACGCTAGTATTGTGGTTATTTCGTTATCTACATCCATTTGTACTTCAATTTGGTAAGGAAAGTTTAAATTGCTTTTGTTAGAAATTAATGGTTAAATTATTAGTTCAATACAATTTCTGGAAATGAATAATCTCGTTAGAGATTGCAAAAAAAATAACAACAGTTGAATTGCACACAAACTAACGAGATGGTGCGGTGTCTCGAAAAACACTTTCCATGTATGCAGTGGCCCAAAAAAACTTGTGTCCCCAATGCCGGTTCAATTCTTTTGCAGAACATTTTGTGTTATTAGTTTTAGGTGATATTGTTTCGTTCGTGTTAATAATATTCTCTCTAGGACGTCAGATATTTTTAACTTGATGTTGCTGAATATATAAGGTTAAACAAACCATTAGTTCACAATAATCTTTATAATTAAGAAAACTTTTCAGAGTTTTTTAATAAAACAATTAAACTGTATAACTGACGCAAAGATTCCTCGAAAAACACTTTACATTAATTTAGTTCCCCAAAATGCAAGATTCGTTTTTATGGACCGATCCTTTTGGAAACCTTTTGTCTCAAATGATAAAACAATAAAACAAATAATGAAGATATTGGAAGAAGCGCAGAAAATTTTTGCTAGATTGCTTGATTTCCTAGAATTATTGGTGCAATAGACTGCCCTTTGCTTAAAATTCAATCGCCTGGAGAGGATGATGCAGAAATATACAGAACCCGAAAACAATTTTTTGGAATTAATATTCAAACTGTTGCCGATAGTGAGCTCTACATAAGAGACATTGTTGCTAGATGGCCTGGGTCTACTCACGACCAGACTATCTTCAGTAATAGTGCACTGAAAGAAAGATTTGAAGCTGATCATTTTGGAAAGTTTATTCTTGTAGGAGATAGTGGCTACCAGTTAAAGCCTTATTTAATGACCAAACTGTAGCATGTAAGAATCAATGCAGAAAACTTGTACTTACTCGTATAATGAGTCGATCATTAGAATAAGAAATGTTGTGAAAAGACAATATGGAGTATGGAAACGCCGTTTCCCGATTTTAAAAATTGATTTGCTCTTCAAGTTCAAACAATTCACAGCTACTGCTGTTATACACAATATGGCACTTAAAGAAAACGAGATGATACCTGAAGATTGGGTAGAGAGGGAAAAAGAAGAAAATCATGAACCGATACAAGAATTTCCAGATTACCATCCAAGCCACACTATTAGGCCAAATATAATCAATGAATATTTTGCTAGATTATAAAAATGTATTAAGAAATGGAAAGACACAATATTAATATTGCAGCAAATCATATTCCATTCCTCTTTCTTTAAAACTGGCAGGTGCTTGATGAACAACCACAAGTACATATTTGTTCTGTCAGTTTAACAAAAGTGCCATTAGAGTCACATGGGTTTTCTAACCCAACGATCGTTTTGGCATTGACAATTCTGGGGACAGTATTTATTTATTAGTACCGGATCAGACATTGGTTCTTGGGATGGCCCATCTCCTGTGCCTACAAGGTATTTGTTATTAGAGGCTGCTACCTTCCAGGCTTTTCTTATCAAATTGTCATATTTGATTTTAATTTGTTCCAGACGTCTAGAGCTAGAATTTTTTTCGTTAAATCGCATTAAAATTAGTTTCCAAGCTTCGTTTTACAAGTTTTATGTGTTAACGTTAATCCATAATAGGCTATAATTATTATTAATATTTATATCTTTTCGGAGATATTCAGTTTGTCGGTCATTTTGCACTCGACTACGTCTTTGAATTTTTCAATTTCACTCAATAGCAGTAGTTCCTCATCGTTACTGTAGTTACAGCTACGATTACGTTTGATTTTCTACTGTAATGTTTTCACAAAGGTTACAATTATACCAACATGAGGCTTTTAGTTTTAATGAAACATTAGTAAATTGACGACCAAAATGTTGTTATGAAATTCAACATATTTAATGGACCGTTAAAGTGACAATTATTTTAATTAGTTAATTCTCCATTAAATTTTCATTATGAAATCGGACCTAAGAGTATAAGGAAACTTTATCTGCTGAAGATGGGAAATTAAATGCCGAACGTAGTGAGGCATACAACCATCTGAAACACATAAAGCTTCACTTATGCTCTGTTATTTTTTCTTCAAATGTATAATAAAACCTAATGATTTAGAAATAAATTCTAATTCGTGTTCAAAAATGGTGGCGACCAAATACATTTTTGAATGTTGCCATGACCACTTAATACACGAAAAAAAAAACGAGGTTGTCTGTAAAGTCGGTTTACTGACGATAGATGAACGTGACAACGTCTTAAGAAAATACTGATGGAATGGTTTTGGGCTTTTGATTTTGAAGCAGCGATTATTGGCTGCGCGAATGGCGTTGCTAAAGTAAATGCTACAGCATCTTGAACCTCCATGGGTTCACTCATTGAAGGTAAAGGCTTATTCGTAACATCCTCTGGTTTGTCAGGCTTTTTTTCCATGGTGCATTTGTAAGCAGTTCTGCAAAATAAATCGTCGTTCGAAACAATTTAAATAAAATTCTTAAAATATTATCGTTGTCACGTCAAAATTGACACTACATTCACTTTTCACTGCACTTGATACTCGACCAAAACATGTAAATGTACTATAATATAGCAGCTGTCCACGCAGACGCATCGCTCACTCAAGTAGGAGAGAGACGGATGCCGAACGCTGCCGAACGCGAAGGCCGATTGTGCCTCTTTGTCGCTCGTTCCGCGTTCTCGCTTGCACTTCAAGCCTTACATGGAACGTGACAATAACGGTATGAGTCATGCTTTTTCGAGCGTGCAGCCGGCTCCATCGATTTATAAGACGTTATCACGTCAAAAATTGTCACGAGATCCGAACGACAAAGTCAAATGTCATATACGAAGCATCTTTCAAGAAATTTACAACTTGGTGTGCTAAAAAGAATGCTGTCATTTATATTCAAAGTATCCTTCTGGCGTATTTTTCTGAGATGGCCAAAAACATGAAAACTTCCAGTTTATGGTCGCATCACTCGATGGTTAAATCATTATTGAACTGGAGATACGAAGTGGACATCTCAAAATACAATACTTCAAGTTGTGTGTCTTCTAGAAGAAACAAAATGAAGGTTATTCTCCGAAGAAAGCACGAGTTTTAACAAAGAAGCAATTCGATGAGTTCATCTCCAATGCTCCAGACTTGGGAGCAAAGATAAAAACTTGATTTGATATTAAAACAAAATACATACTTATTTAAAATAGCGATTTATTAGTCTTATTAATATTAGGAATTGCGGGAGCATGTAGAAGCGATGAACTTTTTAAGATAAAATTGTGGATGCTATTGTAGATTTTAGTTCTACGTTACTGGTCAAAATTCTTGATAGCAAAACAAATAAACGTCGCACTTACACTGTGGTTGGAAAAGTTCAAACAGTAACCAAAGGATATATTCAGGATTCATTAGCAAACAAAACGAATTGACAGCAATAAATGATGAAGACAACAGCAGCAAATTTGTTAATTGCCCTAGTATTTCTAACAAAATCGTGAACTTTGATTAGAATAATGCAATTGATAACCGTGATTTCGGTTCGAATAATGCCTTGAATAATGCAGGTAATAATAGTCGCATGGAAAAAATTTCATGAAATTGTATATTGGTAATTACATATTATTACAATCAATAATAAATAAATAATAAGAGTTAAATTTTGTAACTTTACTTACTTTTGCCTTTTTTCAAACTTCTTTTTTTAGTAACTGACAAGGTTATAATAATCCAGTAACTTAGACTTATATGCTTAGGGCCGTTTGCACCACTTGTAATTAACTTTAACTAAAACTTTAACTTCCTAGAAACGATTGTTGATACAATGGTATCTAACAAAATTAACTACATATTAATTAAAGTTAATCTGAACTCTAATCAATAATCATATAATCATAAAACAGCAGGCAACAGTTCCTCGAAAAATGCATATGAAAGCTACTTTAACCTCACTTTTGATAGAAGATATTTTCCGTAAGAGGCCAATACTACTTTGCTACTTTAAAAAGCTTGTAACTATACTCGTAATAACTTATTAAAATCGATAGTTTAAAAAAAAAAAATTGGCTTGCCATTTTGCCTTTATGACCATAACTGGTTGTAAAGTAGTCATAAATAGGGCTTTTTCTTTTTTCCATCGTCTACAGATATAGAATCCCCCAAAGAAAAAATAAATTATTGCCAATTCTTCTACTTTTATCTTTTTACTGCACCTTTGACGAGTAAAGTGTATTCAGGACTTAGGTTATGTCTGCAGATGTGTGCGAGAAATTTGAAGTAAGTTTCATCAAATTTATGGAAGGCGTGAAATATTTCACGTTTACAATACTACCTCTAAAATAGGTACCTACGGATCTTATTGTTGTATATATCCATAATATTTGGCAAATATTTTTAATTAAATAATAAAAAATTGGTCTAAAATCATTTAGACCGCTTCCTTGAAAAAGTATCAAATTTAATTTTCGAATGTTATTTTTTTATGATACGCCCTATAATTTACAATAAAGTTATATATGTACAGACTTCATGAAACGTCGAGAAAACCGGAAAGTTGCCATTCGCCCGATGGACCCTGTTACAGCTATGGGTTACGCCACTGTTTTCAACTGCGTGTTTTCGTCGCCTTTATTACAATTTTTTGCTGGCCCTTGAGTATGCGACGTCTTCCGCTATAACTTGTTTTGAATGGAAGGGATGAGCGATACCCAAGTCTGGTGCAATGGTGCAATATATCCGTTTATTCCAGCGGTTTTCAAACGTTCTTGAGTAGTGGAACCCTTTGGATTGTGTTATTATTTTTGGGAACCCATAGGTTAATATAGAAAAAAAGTGTTTTTTTAATGTCCGCAACTCTTTTTACATTTAGTTACAGTTGATATTGTAATGAACACACATATTTTATTAATTTTATATTGATTAATAATTATTAATACATTTTTTACGTAAGTTTTTGGAAAAAAATCAGTGATATTTGTGTAAATTGAAAAACATTGAGATTTAACAAAGATTTCTTTATTTTACTATAAATCACCTCCAATTCAATGGCTTGGGTGTGCTTGTGTATTTTCACATAAGACTCTGAAATCGGGTTCTATTGTTGTTAACTGTAAACGCACTTCGTTTTCTGCATTTAATCGATTTCTGTACTTAGTTTTCATTGCAACATACGTCGAAAACGATTTTTCGCACAAATATGTAGTGGAAAATGGCATTAAAATTGTTGTAGCCCTTTTGGAAATTTCTGGATATTCTGTTGCAATGTTAAGCCAAAAATTAAGTAGATCTTCTCCACGTTTTGACAGCAAAGTAGAATCGGTAGCAATATCTATTAACTGTTCTTTTTCTTTAATTGCTAAATCATCAGATTTGTTATAATTTTTAAATGGGTCTTTAATCTAGTCATGATGAGCATTTTTTTCGCCTGGAAAATATTCTTTTAAAGTGGCTTTTAACTGGGCAAGATGTTCCAAAATACATAGTTTCACATTGTAGTCTAATTCTAGTTCATTTTCAATTAGAAAATTATTGAGTTGTACAAAACATTCTACATTATTCTTTCTTATAATTGATTCCCACATATCTAATTTTAATAGTAATGCATTAATTTTGTCCGAAACCTTGATAATATATACCGTGAGTCCTTGAAGGGATATATTAATTTTATTCAGTATTGCAAAAATGTCTGCCAGGTAGGCTACCAATTGTAACCAGTTTTGATCACGTAATTTTTGGGCATACTCAGATTTTCGTTCATTCAAATAAATCCTTACTTCATCTTTTAATTCAAAAAATCGGCTCAAGATTTTCCCTCCCGATAACCAACGCACCTCTGCATGTAGAAGCAAGGTTTTATGATTACTAGATAATTCCTCACATAACAACGTAAGTAATCTTGAGTTTAATCCCTTAGATTTAATGAAATTAATAATTTTCACAACTTCATCCAAAACATCTTTTAATAGTTTTGGTATTCGTTTTGCCACGAGTGCATTACGATGAAGGCAGCAATGAGAATGTTGCATGTGTGGAGCTATTGCTTTTATTCGTGAGACTACCCCTTTGTTTGAGCCCAATAATGCTTTTGCTCCATCTGTACAAATATGTGAACATAGATCCCAAGTTAATCCATGGTCTTCCATATATTTATTTAATAGTTCGAAAATTTTTTCACCAATAGCTCTCTCTATTAGAGGTTTGCAAAAAAGCATATCTTCTTCAATGGTAGAATTCCAAACATAACGGACCAAAACTATCAAAATCGCCAATCCAGCCACATCTGTTGTTTCATCCAATTGCATCGTAAATTGATGAGGAGAAGATTTTAAACGAGAAATTAATTCATCTTCACAAAAAGATGACATTTTCTTAATCCGTCTTGGGATTGTAGTATCAGAAAGAGGTATGGTGTCAATTTCCTTAACATATTTTGCACCAAGCTTACATGTTATTATGTCTTTAACACAGGGTTTAATTAATTTTTCAGCAATCATATTTTCGTTTCTTCCTTGGGATGGATGAATCCTGAGATGCCGGAACAGATGTAGAAGTACTGGCTTCATTTGATGTCGAGGGATCAATGGGCCTTATCGTTGGATCACTTTCTGATCGCTTGAAAGTTACAATTTTCAGCCATTTATCCATTCTAAGAAAAATTAAAGTACAACGTTATTGTAAAATGTATAAAGAATTATGAAAATCCAATTATTTTTCAAACGACAGTACTTTGTATAATGATAATTAATAATAATCAAATCAATACTCCAGACAATATTTAAAATCCGTACTCACAAGTAATTCACACACGGCAAATACATACGAACTGCAGAAGTGCAGAACTAACCGATAATTGCTGCACATGTGCAAATCTGGCGAATAATTCTCAGAAATCTCATTTGTTTTGTCTTCTTAGAAACTGCATTTCTGCGAAATTCCGCGGAAGGTTTTATAAACGGAAGTAGTAGTGTTTTTTCTTATACATTAAAAACTATTTCGTTGTAGAAACATTAATTTATTTTTACATTTTACTGAAAAAATATTTTTCATTTTTTTTATTTCCCTTTACATTTTTCTTGGAATTTTGGAATTTAAATTTTTTAGTAGCTGGAACCTTAGGCAGAACCCCAGAAACAGGGGCGCGGAACCCCAGGGTTCCGCGGAACACAGTTTGAAGACCGCTGGTGTAGATAATTTATTTCGATGTTAGTAAAATCCAGATTCAGTGTTTTGTAATTTGGTCACTAGTAAATTTTAGTTTAGTTTCATTTTTTTTGTTTGTGAATTTCCCTACTCTAGCGGAAAAATAGAACGTAACAGTATATTAACAAAATACAAGTTAAATAATTAATTACATCTGATGTCCAAACGTAACTAAATATTAAATTTTATGTACAAAATTAGTCCGTTCTTTGTTATTACTCGTTACTCGCCAATTTCTTTGCTTCGTCCAAGGTGCTTCCTTTATTTACGTTCAAAATTTATTTTGTTGACCCAAATTGTGATTGCTTTCTTTTGTCTCTGTTGATTTGCGATCTAGCCAGCCATTATGTGTTTAACTTGTCCGTCCTTATTCATCTTTTGAAGATGATTCCACCATGGTAGTTGCCCATGTTCTAAATGTGCCTACATGCAGCTTATTTCCAAGTTTGTCATTCCGTTCATTAACTGACTCCAATATGTTTTGGTAATTTAATCTCCATAGATTGTAACTTATCATCCTTGGCGACAATATCGATGTTTGGCAGCATAGGTTTAGATTGGTAGGTATACTTATTGCTTTTGTGGGACGCCGTCATTTTTAACTTAGCTATTTACAATGCTCCTTTCCGGCTGGAAAATCGCTTTTGATATTATTAGACTTCCAAACGTGACATTAAATTTAGAGCTGCCACTTTGACGTATCTTATAATGTGCACTGGTCATAGAATGCACTGGCACTCCCGACGAGGCTGAATCCATGACTACAGAATACAGATGAGGATGAGACTGCTTGGTGATTATGAATTATAGTAAATATTAACAATTACGATCAAGTCTTTACGTTTTTACCTATGAAATGCCTGTGAATTAAAAAAAAGACTTGCGGCGTCACGAAATTTTGACATTACAATTTAAATTTCAAAAGGTTTCTAAACATTTTTTTTATCAGACATAATAAACGTTACGTATTTCAACATAAATCTTTGGAGTAAATTATTATATTAAAATATTGGCCCACAAAATTTTGTATTTTACACGTCTTGAAAATGTTTTGGAAATGCTCGTAAATTTCTCGCATTTTCAAAATTGCATTTCCCAGACTTGTTAAACAAATAGCTATTGTATACGTTAATATTTATTTTTTGATCACTTGTACGGTATGTTTCAACGGCAGTAAGTCTTGTCTACTGGTTACTATACAGGGTCATCAAAATTGATTGAGAGAGTTGGTACCCCCTGTTTTTGTCGTGAAGTTTGTCAACCTTATGACAGATTTGTTTAAGGCGGTATCACTCGGCCTGGTTTAGGACAGTTTTTATCCCATTTGAAATGTCCTGTAAAAACGAGAGAAATTGACTTAGGACGATAATTTTTTTTCTTAACAATCCTTATTAGACATATTTTGTCCCTCTTATATTAAAATTTGATTTTCAGTTCTGTTTTCTGTGTAAAAAAAAAAGTAAAAACACGCAAAAATGACGACATTTACATTGCTGTTACAACGTACACTTTGTAGTGCGAAAAAAATTAAAAAAAGAGGTATCTACAACGAACCTTTCTTAACAGATTGCATCAATAGGTTTTTTAATAAGTGTTACACAATTCATATACAACGTCATTTAAGTAAGCGCTGCAGATGAAAAAATTGCTTCAAGTTTTCAGCTGTACCTACTGCGATCTCTGTCGCACAGTGGGTCGGACCTTTCGTCGGAAGTTGACCGTGAAATTGGGAAGGCGGAGATTATGCAGGGTAAAATACCTACCCTGACAAAAGAGGCTTCAAATTTTACTCGGTTTGCACTCCAGGTTTCGATTCTTTCGTCATTTTGTCAAAATAGAAAATATTGGTGGAATAAAAAAAAAAATTAGCACAACACATTCAAAATTATTCGGAAGTGTTTTATTTTTGATACTCTATGTAAATTGTTGAATTATAAAAATTGGTCTAAAGTTATTTAGACAGCACTTTCCTCGCCCTTGAAGTCCGGTATGGTATAACATATTCAGTTTTGTCAGATAATTGTAAGATTCGATTTAGAGATTTTTTTGCTGATCAGGCAGTAAAGAGATCCATCTGGCGAATGACTAATTTTATGTTTTCTCGACGTTTCATGACCCCTAGACTATGAAAAAGTAAATCTCCCGTTTGTTGTGGTTTATCAATGCGTTCATATTTTTTAGAATTGCATATACAGGGTGACTGAGAAAAAAATTACCATTGAGTCAATTTATTCTATAGATTAAAAATGGTGCTACAATACTGTTATTGTTAGTATTAGACTGCATCTATCGGAATTGGTACACGTGCCTTGTAAAAATATTGATAAGGTCATGACAAAATTTTGTAATCAAAACACTTATTTGCAACATACACATAGCATGTCTCTTTACCTTTACTTTACTGTTAGACACATCTTTTTATAACTTTAAAAGTTACAATAAAGAGAAAAAATAAAATTCTAAAAATCAAATCTATCACATCAAAGCAGCTATCTATGTGGTTGTTCCCTTCATTACTATATATTTAGAAATCAGTTAAAAATTTAAAATATTTTCCCTACATCATAGGAAATTAGTAGTTATGGCAATTCTAGCTCTAAAGTCTACCTGAGGGTACTGGGAGACAATTCAACCCTGCACGGATAAACCAGATGCGACGGAAATGACAGTAATAAATGTAAAGTATTTCTATCTTGTATTGTTGTTACCACGAAAAATATGAAAATATACACTAAGTCGGAAGCAACCTACAAGGGAGCGGCAAGAACAAACGCTGATGCCGCCTATGTACTTTAGATTTATAACATGCATATTTGCAACACATTTTGCTAAAATCTTCAGTTTCTTTCTGTTTTTGAAACGGATAAGTGGCAGTACACGAGGCCCAATCTTTTTTCTGCGAAACGTGTGTTGTAGTGATAGCTGATAGTGTTCATTGTGTGTTACATTTTTAAGAACATTTAGATACTTTAGTGCCGTGGAATGGCTAACAGGAGAAAATTAAATTTATCAACAAAACGAAAAAGTAAACGAATTATTGCACAACACAGGTAAGTTTTAAAATTTGAAAAAAAAAAAAATAAAAAAACAGTGACATCAAATAACACTACATTTTTGTCAACAGATGGGACAAACGGAGAGGTATAAGAAATGAGTTGAAAATAACTGCTGAAAGGTATCAAATTTTGCCAACATTGCGTAATTTTTTGTTACAAATTTTCCATTTCATGTTTAGAATAAGTATACCAAGCGGAACCAGTGACATTGGCAACGAAATTGAAAGTAACGTTGGTGATTTTATGGAAATTGGAAACAACAGCACCATACAGAACAAGTAATTATATTTATAAACTATTAAACACTAGTACAGTAGTCAGCAAGGTAAATTTACCCATGGTTTTTCCAGGAAAAGCATAGACGACGAGACTTATTGTGAGGATCGTTCGAAAACTGAAATCGAAACTAACGCAAGTGACTGTATGGAAATAGAAAACGACACCACCATGAACAAAAAGTAATTAGACTAATCATTAGACTTTACTACATTGTCTCACACTTATTTAATTTCAGAAATATTCTCGATGGGAAAAGAATTGTTGATATACAATTTTTTTTTCAGCAGTTATTCACTTTTCCACATCTGGATCTTTTTTCTTGTGGTGCAAATGATATAGAAGTCATCAAAGAAATTAGGGATGGGTTTGTGTCGACGTTTGAGTTGAAATGTAAAATGTGTGCTCAACGTCACTGTGTTTATAGTGATAAACCCGATGGCAAAATGAATACGAACGGTAGTGCAGTGCTGGGAACAATTAATACCGGTTGTGGATACTCACAGTTGCAAGAATTTTCTAGCACTTTAAATATTCCGTGCATGTCGTACAACAAATTTCGGAAATTAGAAGAAAATTTCCAAGAAATTTTCCAAGAGGAATGCTGGAATTCAATGCTTCAGGCAGGACAAGAAGAAAGTTTTTTGGCAAAAGAAGCTGGAGAAATAGATGATACTGGAGTACCCGTCATTACGGTTGTAGCGGATGGATCATGGGCTAAGCGTTCTTATCGTAGCAACTATAATTCAAAATCGGGTGCAGCATGTATTGTTGGACAACGAACAGGAAAATTATTATTTTTAGGGATAAGAAATAAATACTGTACGACATGTCACAATGGAACAAACAAAAATCATCTTTGTTTTAAAAACTGGAACGGATCTTCCACTTCTATGGAAAGTGACATTATACTTGAAGGTTTCAAACAAAGTATGACAATGCATGGTCTAAAATATGGATTTTTGGTGGCTGACGGTGACAGTAGTGTTTATTCCAAAATTGTGAAAGAACGACCAACGTTTCCAGTAAAGAAAATAGAATGTTCCAACCACTTGTCAAGGAACTTCGTCAGTCAGTTACGAGTTCTACACCAAAAACGGTTTAGTTCCAAAG